TCATTATCTCAAAATTGGATAGAATTAAGATTGACTGGTTAATAGTTAACTGTCAATAAATTATTCATTATCTCAAAATTGGATAGAATTAAGATGGAAGGAAGATATTGATATATTTTTTTAATAGTAAAGGAGGATATTTATAGCTAATTAATAGTAAAAAATGGACATAAGTTGAATTAAAAGTAAAAAATTTAAATTAAATTTTTGTTCAATAATAGAGGGATGACTATTGGCGTTAACCCTTTCTATGGAAATTTATTCCTTTTGCTCGGATTTGGAATGGCAATGATCATGTTGGCGAGACTAATTCTTTAATTTGACGAGTAAACATATTTAAACCACCCACTATTCTCTTAATTTTTTTAGGGGAGACTCTTATTTTTCACGTCCCTATGGCCTATGGAACAACTTCCACCAAATTCAATGTACTGGAATAGTAGAAACAAGAACCAAACTTGTGGTCAACACGATATTTGGTTATGTCGTTATTAGCATTTATGTATTCAAGTCTACGGTCACCTTCTCACCTTTTTAGACCGCTCCAGCGCCTCCATCTTTTGACTGAAATTGAAACTCCATTATAAGAAGAAAAGGGAGCGACATTGCTTCAAGCCAAAAAAACAAAGAACAAAAAATGGAGGAAAAATGGGTTCGAGCAATTATATTGTTGGTTTTGGTAAGTGGATGGTATTGTTCTTGTTGTTGTGGGTGTTTGGAGGAAGAGAGAATTGCCCTCTTAAACCTTAAACATTCAATCCCTCCCCCAACCGACTATGTTCTAGCATCTTGGGGTGGGCATGGTGATTGTTGTAAGTGGGTTGGGATTGAATGCAATATCACAACAAAGAGAGTGTTTCAGCTTTCTCTTAATTTTACTAGGGGTTGGGATGTTAAGGGTTGGTATATGAATTCTTCTCTGTTTTCACCCTTGGAAGAGTTGAAGAGTCTTTTCTTGAGGGGCAATAGCATTTTTGGCTTCATGAAGAATGAAGGTAATTACTTTCTTTCTTCTCAAGCAACATTTTTAGTTATTCATTTTGTGGGATGTATAGTATTAAAATTTTTGGTTTAGCAATACAACTGACCATATTAATTTCTTGCACAGGTCTAGAAAAGTTGTCAAGCTTAAGCAATTTGGAGGTTCTTGATTTGAGTTATAATCGATTAAACAATAGCATCTTATCATCTTTGGCAAGTCTTTCATCCTTAAAAGTGTTAAATCTAGCAAACAATCATATGAAAGGAAGTCTCCATATTTCAGGTAGTTTTTTATGTAACATAACCAATTAATCTGATACACTTTAAGAAATGAGGCATAATATCCAATTTAACATCATTACGTTTCTTGAGGGACTTGAAGCTACTCATTAATTACTTGTAAATGCATAAAGAATGCTTATTACACTCACAAATCCTATTTACAGGTGTTAAAAGACCACTGGGATTAAGTAATTTGGAAGTGCTTGATTTGAGTGATAATTCTTTCAATAACACAATTTTATCTTCCCTAAAAGGGATTTCATCTCTCAAGAGTCTCTATTTGGGTTGGAACAAATTAAAAGGAATACTAAATATTAAAGGTAGATCAACTGTTTCACTTATTTTTTGTTTATATCAATCATTGTGTATCCTTCTAATGAAATCCTTTTTTGTTCCTCATTAGAATTTAACTAATTTTATTTTGTCACTGTGACTGCCAGAATTAGTTGGTTTAAATGAGTTGAAGGAGCTTGATTTAAGCGGCAATAATGTTAGAAGTTTTGTGGTTCCCAAAGGTACTAATGAAAGTAGAAAATATGGTTATGATGAAGCCCCCTCAATTTGTTCATTTCATCAAGAAATACCCTAAAAGAATTAGAAAACTTGATCTATTAGTTCATACTCAATAATTTTTTGATGAAACAACAAACCCTTTTGCAGGTGTTAAAAGACCACTGGGCCTAAATAATTTAGAAGTGCTTCATCTGTACGATAATTCTTTCAGTAACACAACTTTATCTTCCTTAAGAGGGCTTCCATCTCTCAAGATTCTTGATTTGAGTGATAACAAATTAGGAGGAGTGCTAAATGTTGAAGGTAGATTAATTGTTTCAATTATTTTTTGTTCTCATCAATCATTTTATATCCTTCTAATGAAATCTTTGTTTCTTTTCTTTCAGTGTAATTTAATTGATTTCATTTTGTCTCTATGATTGCCAGAATTAGTTGGTTTAAATGAGTTGAAGGAGTTAGATTTAAGCTACAATAATGTGGAAAGTTTTGTGGCTCCAAAAGGTACTGATAAAAGTAGAATGTATGGTTATGATGAGGCCCTGTCATTCTATTCCTTTCATCAACAAATACCCTAAAAGAATTAGAAACTTGATCCATTAGTTTCATACTCATAAATTTTTTGATGAAACAATAAACCTTGTTGCAGGTATTAAAAGATCACTGGGCCTAAGTAATTTGAAAGTGCTTCATCTGCAAAGAAATTCTTTTAGTAACAAAACTTTATCTTCCCTAAGAGGGCTTTCATCTCTCAAGAGTCTGGATTTGAGTGGGAACAAAATAAAAGGAATACTAAATATTAAAGGTAGATCAATTATTTCACTTGTTTTCTATTTTCATCTATCATTGAATATCTTTCTAATTAAATGCTGCTTCTTTTCCCTCGTTTTTATTTGACTGTTTGTATTTTGTCCCCACCAGAATTAGTTGCTCTAAACAATTTGAAGGAGCTGGATTTAAGCTATAATGAAGTGGAAAGTTTCGTGGCTCATGAAGGTACACATGATCAAACTAGAAAGTTGGTTATAATGAGGTCTAGTCATCTTGCTCCTTTCATCAATAAATCCATAAAAAAAATTAGAACACTTAACCCATTAGTTTGATACTAGTAAAAGTTTTTATTGAACTGTAAACTGCTTATGCATCAATAGAGAAAAATTTTGCTCAAGCTCAAGTAGAACTTTTAAGGCTATGTCTACATTGGCTACTGTGACGCATATGTCCTTTTCAAAAGATCACGAGTTTGCTACAAGTTCACATCTCTACAGCTTTAAAGCTTATCTTGATCCCTTCTTTTGTTTGTAGATACAAGAAGTTCGAGTATGCTGGAAGTCCTATATCTAAGTGGGAACAACAACACTTGTGGAAGTTGTCTAGTACAATCAATTAGGGCATTCCCTTTAATTAAGATCCTTGATCTTACTTTCAGTACATCTATAGAACCAGTGACTGCTATAGGTAAGTAATGCAGACAAGCAAAAGGAGAAAAAAAAAAAGAAGAGAGAGCATAGGATATGCTTACCTATATTTTAGTTTTTCTATTGTACATTATCTCAATTTATCCAAATTGCTAATAATAATTGAATACTTAATTTTTAGGTAGTCACACTTTTAAGGAGTTGGAAGTATTGCTTTTGGATGAATCTTCTCTTGACAATAATTTTCTCCAAAGCATTGGAACACTAAGCTCTCTTAAAGTTTTGTCTATGTCCTTCTGTGAGCTCAATGGAACTCTACCCAATCAAGGTAAAACATATAATCTTCTCACTAACCCAAAAAAAATTATATATATAATCTTCTCCTCATAAGAAATTTAAAATTATGATTTGATGTAACAATTCCTCATTTCTTTGTTTCTTATTGTTTCTTGTGTTAGTAATTTCATTTTTTTTTCCTTCTTCGATAACTAATATTTACAGGATGGTGTAAACTGAAGAATCTTGAAGAGTTAGATTTAAGTGCAAATAATTTTCAAGGAATGCTTCCCTCCTGTTTGGGAAATTTGTCATATCTTTTGGTGATGGATATATCATATAACCATTTCACAGGAAATATTGCTACTAGCCCTCTTACCAATCTAACATCACTTGAATATCTCTCGTTTTCAAGAAACAAATTTCAAGTCCCAATTTCCTTCGGAATGTTTGCCAACCACTCCAAGCTTAAAGTCCTTCTTGGCGATGACAACAATTTAATTCCAGAACCTCTCCTTCATACTCCAACTCCAAGGTTCCAACTCATATTTTTGAGTTTGTCTTACCTTGCATTAAAAGAACCTCCCTACTTCCTCCAGCACCAAAATGTCCTTAGGTTTGTTGATCTCTCCCACAACAACATCACTGGAGGATTCCCATCTTGGTTGTTCATGAACAATACACAATTAAAAGTGCTCATGCTAGGATATAACTCCATATCAGGATCTTTACAGTTGCCATCACAACCTCATTTCAACATTTCAGTCTTAGATATAGCCATGAATGGTTTAGCGGGAAAAATTCCTATAAACATGAGTTTAGTCTTTCCCCATCTTACAGACTTAATCATGTCCAAAAATTACTTTCAAGGTCAGATTCCTACTTCTTTTGGTGATATGAAATCATTAATATATTTAAGCTTGCCAAACAATCAATTCTCTGGGAGTATCCCTGATTCCTTTGGCCGTTTGAGCTTTTTAGTCCATTTAGACTTGTCCAACAATCAGCTCTCTGGAGGAATACCAGAATTGCTAGTCCTAGGTTGCCCCTTAGAATTTCTCATATTGTCAGGCAATAATTTGCAGGGGCAAGTATTTCCTCTTCTTTTCAACTCCACAAATTTAGCTGTCTTACAACTCAACAGTAATAACTTCACAGGAGAGATAGCTGAGTTTTCATCTATCAACTCTTTTTCTCCTTTGGTAATAGACATGAGCAACAACCATTTCTCAGGCAAGCTTCCAAGATGGATGGGAAATATCTCATCGTTACGTGGGCTATCTTTGTCCAAAAATCTTTTTGAAGGTCCATTTCCAGTAGAATTTTGTGGCCTTGATAGCCTTTATTTTCTTGACCTCTCAAATAACAACTTGTCTGGCTCTATCCCTGAATGCTTTAATCCATCTTTCATAAACCATGTTCATCTAAGCAACAATAGATTTACTGGGTCATTGACAAAAGCATTCTACGGTAATGGCACCTCTTATTTGGAGACACTGGACCTTACAAGGAACAATCTAACTGGTACAATTCTTGGTTGCATTGGCAACCTACCTTCATTGCGCATTATTTTGTTGAAAGCTAACCATTTTGAAGGTGAAATTCCTTTCCAGCTATGTCATTTGAATGGATTAAAAATAATGGATCTTTCTCAAAATAATCTTGCTGGTCCTATACCTTTCTGTCTAAGAAATTTAACATTTGAATTTGAGGCATCAATTTCTCAATTTCAAACTCAATTTGGGATAGCGGATCAATATGATGGCTCAATGATATATTCATTGTCAAACGTATGGGGGAAAAAGCTGCTAAAGAATTACTATGGCTACGTGCCACAAAGAAATGTGTTAATTGAAGTGGGGGATTGGGTAGAGTTTACAACAAAGAGCATGTCATATGTTTACAATGGAAGCATCCTTCGTTACATGTCAGGTATTGATTTATCTTGCAACCAGCTCACGGGAAGGATCCCACCTGAAATTGGATACTTGAATGAGATCCATGCACTAAACTTGTCACACAACAAGCTAAATGGACCAATTCCCTCTACATTTTTAAACCTTAAGCAAATTGAAAGTTTGGACCTCTCCTACAACAATTTGGATGGGAGAATCCCCCCTCAGTTGACTGAGCTAAACAACCTAGCTGTGTTTTTTGTTTCACACAACAACTTATCAGGACCAATCCCTGATCAAAAAGCTCAGTTTGGGACCTTTGGTGAAAGTAGCTATGAAGGAAATCCTTTCCTTTGTGGAGCTCCACTGCAGATCAACTGCACCAAAATTGAATCACCATCAGTGGCCAATGTCTCCAATTATGACAGGGAAAACAATGGTTTTATTGACATGACTGTTTTCTACTGGAGCTTTGTGGTGGCTTATGTTGCAATCTTGATGGCAATCACAGCAGTTCTACAGATAAATCCTTATTGGCGACGGAAATGGTTTTATTTCATTGAAGTTTGCATCACTTCTTGTTACTACTTTGTTCTGGACAACTTTTGTGGTTTTCCAAAACAATCATTTAACCTCTGTAGAGTCAAGACTCAAGAGTGACTACTAATTAGAATTGTAAGAGAAAATGAGTATTCAAGGGGTAGCCTTGGATTCAAATGATCTTAATGCAAACTTTGATATTGAAGGTTCCTTATAATAAAGTTCATCACACTAAAACATGCATCTATATCAATCCCACCAAATGTCATTTATTGGAAAATAATGACAACTTTTACAAAGAAAGCGCATGTACAAAACGTTGTAGTCTTTTGTTCTAAGAGAATATGGAGCCAGCTTGATTGGGACAAAAGTTTAAACCAGAATTAAATTAGTTAGGGGTACAATCAATGGGCCATGGCTCAAAACCTAACATTCATCCAACCAAAACAGCGTTGGAAAAAAAGGCACTCTGATCCTAAAATGTTTACAAAAAGATGAGAACACGAGAAACTTCGCTCACATTTGTGGTCTAAATGCAGCAAAGATACCAAGAGGAACCATCTCTTTAGACTACATATGTCAAAACTGGTCAGCTGGACACACCAAAATTTGTTACTTCCTCGATGTGCCCTCCGCCCAGTGTGGCCTGTTAGGACATATCTTAGGAACTTAAAAAAAGTTGAGCCATTCATTCTCCTTATAATGTGACATCTCAAAATGGACGGAATCGCCATGTATATAAATGAGATGAGATAGATTATCAAAATTTATGTAAAAATTGACTAAATTTAAAGGATTAGTTAAGTGAAGGGAAGGTATTAGACATTTCATAACTTTTATATAATATGGTTATTACATATTTTAATTTTGAGGATTTTTTAATTTTTATCAAAAAAATAATTACCAAAAATAATAATGATAATAATAAACAAAAAAAATCACCTTCAGAAGAAAAAAAAATCTGTCATCATTTTTTTTTCGTTTTGGTTTCCTTTTTTTTCTTTTTTTTTTTTACGTTTCTGTTTTTCCCTTTTTCATTTCTTTTTTTTTTTTTTTT